GACAATAAGCTGTGCTGCTGGATTTGTTGTGAATCCTCCTGGATCAACTCCAAATATCACATGCCAAGCCGATGGTAACTGGACAACACTTAACACGCCACCATGTCTGCGTAAGTTATTCTTTGCTGTAGTGATTCTCAATGTACTAATAGGTCTCTATAATACCGATCCTGCAGCCCAAACATTGAAGCGGACACCAAATACGATGCGCCCAATTAAAACAAGTTCACCTATAAGGGATGATGCTCGGCGCTCGTTTTACAGAGTGACAGAAGCCTCATGCAGCGGTCGGCGCTCGTTTTACAGCGTGACAGAAGCCTCATGTAGCGGAATCAGCCAGCTAGATTAGTCAGTGTCGCAGTGTCTTCAGTTTCTAAGTGTTTCGAAATCGCTGGATTTCGTGTTAACACATGGCGAGCTCAATGGCTACAACATCGCTGGCCTCAAGCGAAGGTCCCTGATTCGAGTCCTGGTGGTGACAGATATTGTTCTCTTCAGACTTTTTCCCTTTCTCATTCCCTCAACTAGTGAGTACATCATAGTCATTTATTTACAGTCAACATGCAACTCAATCATACGAAATAGCACGATATCTATGCACTGCACCGTCTATGATGCAGATCACTCCTCTCTCCTCCAGCCTTTAGTTGACTTTGCAGAACATCTGGAGCACAGTGTGCAGTCTCGAGTCATAATACTGAAGAATCGAATTCCTTATGCAGTTCGATCGCCAAGCCGGTTCAGGTCAATACTAGGTAAAATTACGGGAACGGTTTTTATTCAATCTGGAGCGCAGCGCATTCTGCAGATTGGCCAAATTCGCAGAATGCCAGGAACACTTACTGTTCGTGGAGACAAAAAGATATGAACGCAGTAAGTAAAGCAAGTTGCTCATTACTCACATACTTCGAAGTACACCTTTGGCCGGTGGTAAATATCAAAATCCCTCTGATGAGCTGCCCTGGCCAATGGTGTTTCCCAGCGTGCTATAGCGTTCAAATCAATTTTATCAATAAGTAGTCGAAAGACTACAAGATAACACAGAGAAGGTTTTGGTGACAGGTACCGTCCAATTTACTCAGTACCATCTTCATTGTAGTGCTGCCAGCTCAGGGGCCTCGCTATGCTTTCATTTTACCTAGGTCACCACGCATGTATTTCTAACTGGTAAAAACATCATAATTAAATACAAAGGATCATTTGGGGAAGTGAACTGCCTGAAAAGAGAAAAAAATCGCCAGACCCACCAGGACTCGAACCCGGGACCCCGCTTGTCATGAGCAATGCTCTAACCACTGGTTAGAGCATTGCTCATGACAAGCGACATCCTGACATGACATCCTGGTGGGTCTGGCGATTTTTTCGCTTTTCAGGCACTTCACTTCCCCAAATGATCCTTTGAATTTGAAGTTCTCCCAATCCTTTCGATAATTAAATACAATTAATGTTTTCCAGTACTTTTATTGCAAATATGTTTCTATCAGCTCGAGTAACAGTAATGATGACCTGGGTAAAAAAGAGGAATAGCAAGGGTCCTCAGCTGCCAGGTCTCCTTTTCCTTAATTTTTTGTGTGCAGTATGTCAAAATGCTTGAAATCATTCATTGCTAGTGAACAGTATAGAATCCTAGTGAGAATGAAAAACGTAACACTCCATGTACTTTGTCAATCAAAACAATTAAAATATTCCATTGCTTTTTGAACTGTTTTGTTAGGAGACTGTAAGACACCCATCAATCCAACTGGAGGAACATATCCAATAACTGGTCCTACAACTGTCGGCAGTATGAAGACAATAACTTGTTCTCCTGACTATGCCGTCAACCCTTCTGCAACAACACAAACTATCACATGCCAAGCCGGTGGTACTTGGACAGTGCCTGGTGTGCCTCCATGCCTACGTAAGATATTCTTGATTTAAAAAAGAGTTGATAGTAGAGAAAAGGACCAAGGAAGTACAAGTTATGCTATAATGTCCACTAACACCACCAGTCACTAAACAATCAGCCCATGCGATAACACTGGACGACACTGACCAACGGTACTGACGTTCTACGACTAACTGACTATGAGCTCTGGCACGTCTTGCATGCGCACCCCAACAGCAGTATGTTATCATATAACTTAGAACATTCCAAGTTGGAAGGCTGTTGGAGTGCGCACCGAGGACATACTAGCACCTTTTAAGATGTCAAAAAGTTAAAGCTTTCCATTTGGCTAATGGTTTCGATCCCAGGGCATCAAAGTTGTACAGTCCGTGCACAAAGGGTTAAAATTCGTGTTTTGGTGCCCACTACACATTTGCAAAGAGAGAGAGAGAGAGTGCTGCCAGCTCAGGGGCCTCGCTATTCTTTCGTTTGACCTAGGTCACCATGCATGAATTTCGAATTGAAAACATCTTTTAAAAATACAATCATTGGTTTCCAGTTCTTGTATTGCAAATATTATGTTTCTATCAGCTCGAGTAACAGTAATGATGACCTCGGTAAAACAGAGGAATAGCAAGGGTCCTCAGCAGGCAGGTCGCCTTTTCCTTAATTTTTTCCACACATACATGTACCCTTCTCATCCAAAGCTGACTCATGCAGCCCCAGCAATACCATAATCATATGTGCAGTATGTCAAAATGCTTGAAATCATTCATTGCTACTGAACAGTATAGAATCCAAGTGAGAATGCAAAACATAACACTCAATGGACTTTGTCATTCAAAACAATTTACTTGCAAGTAGAATATTCCATTGCTTTTTTAACTGTATTGTTAGGAGACTGTAAGACACCCCCGAATGCAACTGGAGGTACATATCCAATGGCTGGTTCTACAACCGTCGGCAGTACCAAGACAATAACTTGTTCTCTTGACTATGCCGTCAATCCTTCTGCAACAACACAAACTATCACATGCCAAGCCAGTGGTACTTGGACAGTGCCTGGTGTGCCTCCATGCCTACGTAAGATATTCTTGATTTAAATGAGAGTTTATAGTGTAGAAAAGGACCAAGGAAGTACAAGTTATGCTATAATGTCCACAAACACCATCAGTCACTAAACAATCAGCTCATGCGATAACACTGTACGACACTGACCAACGGTACCGACGTTCTACAACTAACTGACTATGAGCTCTAGAACGTCTTTCATGCGCACTCCAACAGCAGTATGTTATCATAATATTATAACTTAGAACCTTCCAAGTTGGAAGGCTGTTGGAGTGCGCACCGAGGACGTACTAGCGCCTTTTTTCTCTTCGACCTACATATTTCGATCTCTCCGAAAGACCGAGATTTGACCAAATTACGATAATTTCAAAATACCTACCCCATCGAACATCGGTGTTCGATCAATGTATAGGCCAGCCAATAAAGGGTTAAGATGTCAAAAAATATAGCTTTCCATTTGGCTATGCAGCTACAACATGTTTCTCTCACTCTTTGTCAATCTTCTTTTGTTCGATGTTACCATCAATCTCCTTTCGTTCGATGTTACCATCTGTGCAGCTCTGCTGTCCGAGTTCACAAAGCCCCAGGGCACCATGGCACACTTCAGGTTCTGGACTTCAACAACATTTTGAAAATTTCACGAGTATGCTTTCCAGGCCTCTTTCCTCCCGCCTTCTTTTCTTGCTGTACTTAACCCATCGGTCTTGTGTCCCTGCCCTTGCCTGTATATCACCTGAAGAGAAGGATTGAAAGTATATTGTCAGATAATGTTTTTCAAAATAACGCTGTTGAAGTACTTGACCTTTGTTCTCTCTTTGTAGTGTTATACCATTTCTGTTTCCGAGGACGTTAGTGCCAATATAAATATACCATAACTCGCAGACGTGTTGGTAGTGCGGTGAAAGTGATCGGCCCGAGACTAGGCCTTTCCCAAAGATGCTCGCCATATTTTTCGCAACTTCTGGTTGTTTGGGAAGAAATCGCAACTTTCGCAACTTTCTTCATTTCCGCGAACTACTTCGCAACCTTTCCGCAACCTTAGCCTCATGGTATGGTTCAAATGTGGTCAAGTCGCCAACTACATGTCGGACAAATGCTTAGTTGTCCATTTCTCGCCTGCCTTCAGGCTCATTTCGTTTCAGAAAAACATTACTGGCTAGTACAGTTCAACGGTAGTTTTGTTATGTGCATTCCTTTTTGCGGGCAATGAAATACTGGAGGATACATGTAACCGGCTATTTGCACCGTGTAAAGTTATGGTTTACAGCACGAATGAGTAGAAAGTTGGCTGTCGATGCACTTCTGCTATTCTGGCTCTGTTTTGGTGATTTTGGGCATCATTGCATGTAGCGATGCCAGCAACTTTTGAGCTTTTTCTGGAAATATGGGTGCGATTGCAGCAACTTGCACTTGTTTTGGCAAGGTTGCGAAACAGTATGGCACCTTTGAGAAAGGGCTACCCAAGACAGCATGTTGTGTGGGGATTGGACTAATTCATGAACAAGTCAAACGACAAAGGCTGCTCACAATCTTTCTGATTTTTCCATTGCAAAAATTATCATCTGCATTGCTAGGAGACTGTAGAGTGCCCACAAATCCAACTGGAGGCAAATATCCAGCGGCTGGTGCTACAACCGAGGGCAGCACCAAGAGAATAAGCTGTTCTACCGGATATGCCGTCAATCCTTCTGGAACAACTCCAATCACATGCCAAGCCGGTGGTAGCTGGACAGCACCTAGCATACCACCATGTCTGCGTAAGTTCTGCCAAAATAATATCAATATGACTTTGCATCATCCACCATTGGCACATGATCATACCCGAGTCTAGTGAGAAGGCATTCTACTGCCTGTAATTCTGGTAAAGTAAAATAAAGTAACAACAACAACAACAACAACAACAACAACAACAACAACAACAACAACAACAACAACAACAACAACAAGTCTCCAATTCAGAGTCTAATACTAATTTGAAAGAGTCTGCGAACAGTGTTGACTTGTTGTGTCTGGGTGTGTCCGATTTCGCTTTTGGCTTGACCACTTCTGTCTGCAGCCCTGACACCGAAAGTGGAATATTCTAGCTCATCAACATCAATTACTGCGATTTTTACTGCCTATGAGCCAATAACAACGGAATTCTGCGTGAACTCCAGCAATATAGGAGTACACTGTGGCAATAGTTCAATCGTGACTATACCTGGCCTCAGCCCGTACACTGTCTACTCAGTGTTCGCATACGTCAAAACAAGCAACATACGCTCACAGTCCACGGCTGCAGTGACGATCAGGACCAATGCTACAGGTAAATTCTTGGTGTTAGATAAACCTTGTTTTGTTGAAACATGCTGTTGGGTAGCTGTTTCCGAACACGGTGGTCCTCCACCTTGTTACATGCTGTCAACCAACAGGGTAAACACGTGTACAGTGTAACCTGTCTAAGACGACCGCTCAAGGGACCTTCAAAATGTTGCCTCTGATACCAGGTGGTCGCCGTGTTCAGGATCATTTCACTGGAAATAGCATCCCTTGGTCCTGGTTGCGGTGGTCCAAACAGAAGAAAGTAAGTCATAAGCCAATACTCGCTAAACTGATATGCAATTTGATTGTGTTCACCTCCCATGCGCAGCTCCAATCGCTGCACCAGGCAACGTCACCATGTTGACCCCAACAGCAATATCAATAAACCTCAGCTGGACTGCTGTGGACCCATACAAGCTGAAGGGCGGACTGGTTGCGTATCACATCGATCTCTTTCTTCCGAAGGGCTGTATCGTTACTTCAACCAAGACAAATAACACCCACATCTCTGTCGGCGGGTTAACATTTGGCACAACATATACCGTATCAGTGACGGCCGAGTCAACGGGAGGCCTCAGCAGCTACGAAAGTAACTTGCAAGTCTCCACAATCCAGGATGGTAAGGTTGAGTAGTAACGTTATAACTATGTGTACAAATGAGAATCCGGCGGAACAAACAGTGATTTTAAAATGTCTCTACTCACGAGTTTCATGGAAACGCAATCATCAGCAGACTGGGGCTATACTCCGGTAATTATGTATAAAATCTTGCTAAATTCTCTGATATCTAATAGGTGCAGGCATTGCAATGAGAAAATGAAAAGACATTAGTATGAATGTATTCATCCGCAGTCACAAGGCAATAGTTCCGAGAGGATTCAAACGTTTTCTTGTGCCACTCATCAGGAGTCAAATTGGTGTGAACTTGAAGAAGAACATATCGGCATCCCTGCATGCAAGTGTGGCGGAATTGCCACTCTCACGTATGCCAGTCAGATGCAGAGTATGAAGAGAGAGAGAGAGAGAGAGAGAGAGAGAGAGAGAGAGAGAGAGAGAGAGAGAGAGAGAGAGAGAGAGAGAGAGAGAGAGAGAGAGAGAGAGAGAGAGAGAGAGAGAGAGAGAGAGAGAGAGAGAGAGAGAGAGAGAGAGAGAGAGAGAGAGAGAGAGAGAGAGAGAGAGAGAGAGAGAGAGAGAGAGAGAGAGAGAGAGAGAGAGAGAGAGAGAGAGAGAGAGAGGGGGGGGGGGGAGAGGGAGGGAGATAGAGGGAGATAGAGGGAGAGAGAGGGAGAGACAGAGGCAGAGACAGAGAGACAGAGCGAGATTGAGCGAGAGAGAGGGAGAGGGAGATATAATGTCATACATCTTGAAATCCACTGATTCGACGGTGCATACTTTGAGTATAAGTAGTAAAAAATAGGTATACCCCTGCATGTACTTCAAAGTATTCAGAGCGGTGCTCGGTTGGGGCTGGGATGGAAAAGGAGGGGGGAGGGGGCTGTTTACAAAGTTGAATCATACACAACCCTCCAAAGCACTGGAGAAGATGACCATGTCCGCAATTCTTTTCTTCACAGTGCCACCACCTCCAAGCATCAGATATCACCTATCAACTGCAACAACAATAATTGTAATATTTGAGACACTCAGTGGCCATTTTACAATTGACCAATACTGCTGCATGTGGAACCGTACGACAGTATCCGGTACTCACTTGCCAACAGCACCTACAATAACCTGCAGCAACGTCACATCCATCGTACTCGACAACCTGGATGAGGACTCCACGTACACTCTAATCGGGTTTGCTTTCAACACTGCTATGGATAACAGCTCACATTCAACACCGTTCAACCTCACAACTAAACCTGCAGGTGAGTTGAACGTTAAATACCTTATGAATATGAACCAGTGTTTTCACACTGGCCGGGCGTTAAGTGCAACATGGAGACAGGGTAAAGTGCGGGAAGAGAAAATTCGCGCAAGCAAAGTAAACATTAAAAAAGCATGCCTCACTAGTGTTCGTGCGTGTGTGCGTGCCTGCATGCGCGCATGTGTGTGTGTGTGTGTTTGAGGGAAGGGATAAGAAAGCTTGATGGATTGTAATATGCAAGGCACTGTATTTTTTATTTGTACTTCTGGATTTTATACCGGCCTTAGCCTAAATCGAGGGAGTCTGTTATACAGATCATTCCCCCCCCCCCCTCCCTCGGCGAATAAGAGAATGGAATGGCTCTTTACCAGAACATTTCAGTTTAGGGAGCGTTGCAAGGGCACGGCGTGTATTTAATGTCATCTCGTAGGGATTGCTTTCACCACCATTCCTCCACCTCATTGCTATAATTCGAAGTATTTTCATTTTGAGCCCTCAAGTGATGCTTTGGGGCTCTTTGTACAATGCAGATAGGGGTGAAGAGATGGAAAAAGGTGGGTTCCGGTTCGCAATCCTAAGGCGTTTGTGAAACGTAAAGGAGTCAGCAATTTTCCAGTGGCATGTCCATCCAGTTTGTGGGAAGCGTATTTTGGAACAGTCTCTCGGCCGAATTTCGATCCATTGGAGAGAAGAAGCGATTGCGTGATGCATTGCGCTCGCAAGACCTGATTATTCTCCCAGTTGCCTAAACCGCTTTTTGTACTGTGCCAAAGATCTGGATCTTCCTCCTGCTACTTAATCTATACTACATTATCCTCTCCATTCTATCTCCCTTCCATGCCTGTTTTTTTCTCCCCTCCCCATTCTCTTTCTGCCCCTCTCCTCTTCTAAGTCGGCTCCTTGTGAGAAAGCACCATTGCCTGTTTGGTTGAACGACTATAAATAACAGCACAACAACGACAACATGTAATGGAAAGCTGTACTCCCTAAAGTGACAAACTGAACATAACTGAGAAGCTAAGTTTTGACAGCCAATTACAGCTGTTAATATTCATAGCAACTTACTAGCCCTTGTATGCCTTGTTTGTATCATGCTTTATGTAAATATTTCTTGCCTCAACCAGCCCCATCGGAGCCACCCGCATCTGTGAACATCACGGATGTCAACAGAACATCACTCACTGTAGTATGGGATGAAGTACCCTTATTTGGTCGCAACGGTCCAATCACACAATATCTAGTCCAGTACAACAGCCAAGAACAACGCGTTGGAAGTGATCAGCTCTCGCTCAGATTGGATGGCCTTCAACCTAACAAATACTATACGATCAGCGTGTCAGCTATTGGATATCAATGTGAAGAAAGACCACCGAAACGTGGAGCAGGTGATAAAACAATTGAAGCTGGTGAGTATATCAACTGATTTTCCCGGCAGAATTATGCAAAACCATGACCGCCGATGTCGCAACATACTAGATCGTAACACATGTGCAAGCCAAGATAACAGTTTTGAGGTATTTTGGTTAGGGGTAACGGGAAGGAGGTGTAAAAGGAATTCTTGCAGTGAAACGTACCTCTTAAAAATAGGTGAAACCGCTGGAAAGAAATCCCTTTGGTGTACATTTATGTGTAGGTACACACACTTGAGAGGAACCAAAAGGCGTTTCTGCTGTAACTCTGAGTTTCACGGTTTTAACCGATCATCAGACAGCAACTTGACTACAATTTTCAGAAGATATGATTGATATAGGCTGCAAGCTTGGATCATAGCACGAATGGATGATCCGAGTTTGTATATGTATGTGTACATGTATGTGTATGTGTATGTCTCGCAATGCGGTCTAGTACCTGATGCGCCGACAATCACACTGACCTCAACGCCAACCAGTATGAAGGCGGACATCGTGTCCAATTCGCCAGACTGGAATGTTATGCGATACTGTGTCAAGGCTGCTGCCAAGGCAACTGGGGACAATCAGGTGATACTGCCTTCTCAGTTGCCAGCGAATGTGCCAAACTGCACAGATACTGACACAATTGAGATTTACAACCTCGAAGAGTTTGTTCTCTACACAGTGAGCGGCTGGGTGCTGAATGGTAGAGGAGAAGCTGGCACTGCGACCATCAAAGATCATAAAACTCTACAGGCAGGTAAGCACGTTGCATAGTGGTCTGTGTGCTGGTTAAAGTGCGTGAGTACATCTCTGCTGTGTGGCGAAAGATGTGTAGAACGTGATCATGGCAGGTGTAAAGTGGAACCAACATGGCCGATATCATATGACCGACACATGTAGATACGGGTAGGGTAGGAGTAGGGGTGTAATTGGAATCAACATGGCTGTCTCGTATGGTCCAGTGCTAGATGCACAGCAGGTCTACAGGGTCATACAATAAAGGATCAGTTTCTCTTCAATATAGCCAAGCATTAACCTAGAAAAGCCAAACAGACCTTTCACCGAAGGTGTCAAATTGCTCCTGGCACCGTACATGCTTTCTGACTTGTTCTTATTAGGCTTGTTTGTTTCCTTTCTAGTGCCAAGTCAGGCTCCTGCAGGACTCACTGTCACGGACATCACGGACACATCTGCTAAACTACAATGGAACGCCATCCCCCTACTGGACCAGAATGGAAAAATCCTAACCTACCAAGGGAATATCACAGCTATCTCTCCTATCCGTGGATCATTGAGCCTCGCTGTCGTTGCCCCTGCTCTCAGTGGAGACATTAGACGGTTGAAGCCATACACGAACTATGAGGTTGTCATTGCTGCTGAAACTACGGTTGGTCAAGGTCGCTGGTCTAATGCTGCGTCATTCAGGACGAAGCAAGCCGGTAAGAACATACATGGATATGGACCTTGGGTTCTTGTAAGCTGACATAGAGGCCGGCAGATGACTTGCCTGTAATGCTATTCCTTTAGCAGTTCTTTTCTGCATCCCACACGAAACACATATTGTGCAAGGCCGACCCTTATCTACTGTGATACCGTGCGAAGTCTATCTTTTTTTCTCCACAAATGCCACATATCTCCAGACACTGGGGTGAATAATGGAGTGTGGTGGCCGGGCCCATTAAGCTCAGCCGACCAGAGGTCTCGGCTTCATAGCTCCATGGACGCACCAAAGGGAAATCGGGTAGGGAGGATTAAGTTGAAAAAGAAAACAGAAGAAAGAAAATGAAAAGATTGTATTACTCAGTGAGCAAAAGAATGAGTTGAGTACGCTGTTAGACTTTTAAATTCAAGAGGAGACTGTCTGTGAGGAGAGATTATGCCCAAGCAGGGTAGGACACTGTACCCTCTTACTCGCGTATGCTATGAGTGGCCCAGTGCCAGTTCGTTCTGAGGAGATGGTGATAAGCTGCTGTCTTGAACTTTTGGATGTTCTTTGGGTGAAATGGGTGGGGAATGATAGAGGCAGGCAGCTGGTCCTACATGGGGATAACGGAGTGGGGAATGGCTCGGCTCACATTGTTCTGGGAATTGGCAGGATCTCTCTCATCTATAATAGCTTTGAATAGTATACCTGAGAAGAAAATCTTAATTGAAGGATTTGTCTAACTGCAACAGTGTAAGAAATGTAAAGGACTGGGAGAACTTCAAATTCCATGTGAACAGTCAGGGAAGTGAACCGCCTGAAAACTGAAAAATCCAAACCCCACCAGGACTTAAGCCTGGGACCAAGTTTGAGTCTTGGTGAGGTTGGTGCTTTTCTGGCTGCCCACTTCCCTATTCCCAATGTTCACATCTATTCGAATTCATATCAACAGAAAAACGGAGCTTTTTCGGATGTGCAGCGCTACGAGAATGGGTGTGGCCACCAGAATTCCTTACTTCATACTTTTCATATTCCCATGTCACCTGCAGCCCCAAGCATTGGACCTACAGGGATCAGCTCCACGTATGTGAATAGCACTGCTCTACGACTGACCTGGAAAGTGCTTCAAGACCACGAACTCAACGGTGTCTTAGTACGCTATGATGTCAGGATTTCTGGCCCAGAAGACTACACACGAGTTTACAACGTGGCTCCTAGTGCCACAACGCGCATCATACCCAACCTTAACATCAACACAGTGTACGGTATGTCTGTGCGGGCTGTTAACCAGGCTGCACCTGGGCCGTTCAGCAATCCAGTGCAACAACGAACAGATGAATTCAGTAAGCAGCAAAACTATTCTACATTTCAAACTAAGAAAATTGCAATGGTACTCTCTCACAAACTCTCTCTCTCTCTCTTTCACCCTCAATTCAGGACTTTATTTCAGCTCTGTCTCTAACTGTGTGTATTGAATGCAAAACTGGCCTTTTTACTGGGTTGATTTCATAAAATTTTCTTGTCTCAACGAAAACTGTCTGACTAGACTATTAAACAATACAGTTTAACAAAATCCGATTTGTTAGAGTCTAATTTGCGCCCTGCACCAGTACACAGACCAGTGTTCACACTTCTGTCGCTGCACTGAACACCCAAAAGGTCATCAATTCGCACGATCCGTTTTCATTGAGCCGCACTGTAGTTCCAAAAGAGTACAGTGTTGAGGAGGCAGGCGCTTTTTACCATAATGCGAACTAGGACGAATTAGGACCCACACTGCATGTATGCCATTACAGCTGCATACCAAGCACTTAGAAGTTGCGACTTTGGCCGTCAAATACCAAGCACGGACTTGATGCATTTTACGCACAGTGATACTCCATGATCCCATTGAATGTGTTTCACCCCTACCAATAGTCTTGAGACAGCACTGCACTGGATTGCGCCGCAATATTTGTTAATAAAATTTAGAAACGAATATGGTCAGCCCTGAACAGTACCGCCTATTCGCAAGTCATGTATGCTACACACCGGTACCTGGGGGACCGTTGACGTGCGAAATACGCTTTTTTAAGAACTCCCACACCTTTGGATAATACGTGCTTCTATGTAGGGACAGACATTGACTCCGTATTTCTACACAAAACCATATGGGTGTGGCAATGGTCCATTTCCAACAATTTACCCAAGCCAGGGCGACAAGACAGAAGGGTGTTTGAAATCATTTTCAATGTCCTTGAGACAAAAATATATAATTATTATGGAAGGTTCATGTGAAGGAATACACAACGTCTGACACCACATTGATAATAACATAATATTATTGTTTTATGTGCGGTTCATATTGTTTTGTCTAATTTTGCAGCTCCCGATGCTGTTACAAACGTCAGCGTTGAGTTCGAGACAAACACTACCAGTGTGACTGCCATTGTCTCCTGGACGCCGCTGACAGAGAGCAGGGGAATCATTACTGACTATACGATTTTCTACAGTGAACTTAACTCAACAGAGGAGGCGCAGCTGAATACTTCCATGAGCGATCTGACAGGTTACAAAACAGCAACCGTCTCTGGGAAGGAGAGCAATGCATTGATTCATGCAATAGTAGAACGGACACCCTGTGCGTTTGTTCTAGTTGCAAGCACCAGAATCGGTTTGGGTCCAGCAAGTGAGCCAGTCTTCTCACAAGGAGCTGCACTGTGTAAGTGGCTGTTACACTCAATCTGCGTACAGAACTGCCTTTCGTCTTTAGTGGACTCATCAGCACAGCACAGTCGCTGCTACATTAACTCTCTCAAAACCACACTCATAGCTTATCATCAGGTGGTTGAATGTCAGTATCACATCAGTCAGTGTATTGTGCTAGCTGTAGCACCTTCTCACTACACAACATCTTACTTATACCTGTTAGTGTTGGACACAAACTACAGATAACATGCAACGCTTTGGTCCTTTCTTTTAATTTCTTAGCTAAACGTGTGAGTTATGTGTGACTATCCACGAAATCGGACGCATGCGCTGCGGACAATCCTTTTGGGAAGCTTTTATGAGTGCCAAGTGAAAGGTGGAGAGAACATGCTCTACTCTATACATACTAGTAAACAGGAGTGCTTTGGACTCATTATGGCTGTTTTCGCTAATCATATCCACAACGGTGAGAATTCAAGTCGGTAAGAAAAGCGCGAGCTCCCGCTTAGGGAGAAACACACATTTCCCCGAGTATCACCGAAATCGCACCAACCTCTTCTTCACATATCCACAACACAGTCCAATATGGCTCTGTTCTCTTCTTGTAGATCCTGGCCAGCCAAGGCAGATCGAAACCAGATTCCTTGATCACAGCACAGCCGAGCTGACTTGGAAACACAGCTTAACAGGAGGCAATCCAAGCAGCTATAGAATGTTTGCATTCTATGAGGGAGATTATGTGGAAGAGCAACAGCAGCAGCATCGTCGTCACCGCAGTGTTGAGTTGAATGCTACCCTGCTGAATATCAGTCAGGTAAGGACTAACATAATTATTGTTTGCGTCTTTAGATGTGAACGAGATTGAGTGTGCTGTGTTGTGTACTGAAAATAATTATGTGTGTGTGCGTGTGCGTGTGTGTGTGTGTGTGTATGTGTGTGTTTGTGTGTGTTGGCATGTAGGCGGGCTTCAACCTTTACTATATTTTACCACGGAGTTTATGCCAACCCTGGTCAGGAAAAGGCTGAAACACAATGGAGCAAAACTTTTGGCGGGTGATTGAATTTTGAAATGATGGTCAAAATGATCAAACTTTGTGATCCAACATTCGATGAGTACATGGACTAACGCTTGTTTCACTTTCCTTTTTTTCTTTAATCGCATGCTCCTTTAGGACGTAGGAGGCGAAGAGTTAACAGGGCGCATTGGAAACCTCCCTGCTGGAAAGCACTACGCATTTGACGTGGTTGCAAGGGTGGATTTCAGTGGCAACGTCTTGACGAGTCCGAACACCCTTGACTTCAGCAACATGACCACTATGTACCTCCAGCCTCAAAGTGAGTACAGTGTCCTTGTGTAGGAAAGCGCCAGTGTTTGTTAAAAGAGTACAATCTACCATATTGTCAAAGTGGATTTTAGTAATAGGTTTTCGATTTGACCCGACGAGACCACACGACGCTTGCAGACAACAGCACGAACAGTTCACCAGCCACACTCCACGAAAGTCGTGTGGCCTCGTCGGGTCAAATGAAAAACCTATTACTACTATTTGACGGACCTATGAAAGATGGCAACAAAGAATTAAAGTGCATTTTGTTGAAATATTCTTGATACTACAATACTTGGCACAATCTTTATTTAATCGTTTGTGCTTGTGCTGTCATGTACATGTAGCAATGCACTCGCCACGACGTGCTTTGCACTTCTCTACGCGCGCTGTCACTAGGTTCCGCGCTTTGCTTCCTTCTTTTATACTGCTGTTTTTCCGTGTCCACTTCATTCCTGATGGTGGTCATTATGGTCATGAAGACCGAAAAGTTGAAACGATACCTCTAATGGATTTGTGTGACATGCAGTGCTCTCTTGAGTGTAGGCAGGTTGCCTGCAAACAATTTCAAGTGTAATGAAGCTGCGTGAAGCGTCCTTCAAAAGTTTGAATCTTTATTTAATTAGAAGAAATCACATGGAAACTAGTTGTGAAGCAACTATCCAAGTTAAATTTACAATCGTTATTAGAGAAATTGAAATAGAGATGTGAAAAATACATAGATACTACTAAAAGACTACGTCGCTACTTGCTACTGTAGCGGCTTATCTGCTTTGTTTCTTTCTTTTCTCGAGGCACTGAACTATGTGTAATAGGATGCATCTTATAACGTTTGATTCACAGGAAAACCTTGGGCTTGACTACCAGTAACAGTGTTAAATACACGGCGTGCAGAGCTTACATGTAGTACAAATGAAAATCCAGTGGAACAAAATGTGACTAAATGTCTCTACTCACGAGTTTCATGCTGAAAATCAATCATCAGGAGACGGGGGCTATACTCGATTCCATTGTCTTCAGCATGCTGTCAACTGCATTATGATGGCCATGCTGTCAACTGCATTATGATGGCCATGCTTTTGACGTTTGGCTTTCATCCTGATGATGGGCCATCATCGAAAATGAAAATTTGAAGCGGAACTCACCGAACAAAGCCTATGAGTTTTAGAAGAAGATGCGAGAGAGTTATGACGATGTGTACTTGGCTGCAGTGCAGTCCACGAAAAATCGGCGGCGAAATTGACTTTAAAAATTTACCCCGTGAATCAATAAAATACGCTGATCTGGACTCTAAATTTCCAAAATTTTCCGCTCAGCCATCCCTCCCCCCACGAGGAAACTGAACCTCAAGTGACTGACCGTACCAAACTAGATACCTTCCGACATTGCCCCTGCGTATCCATATAGCTTTTTCCTTTCTAAAATCATCAGAATGCAGTTCAAGGCAGGCAGCAGATAATGTGACTTATCTTTCAAAACATACACTAATATACGGTGGGACCTGAAAGCGGCAGCTACTAAAATGGATCAACCCATTTTGGACACCCACCCGTGCCATCTTGAATGCGACAGCCGAGCAATGTTTAAAAATATTGCTCGACACCCGAGCAATATAATATTATTATATTATTTTAGAAATTATCCGTGGTGTATGGGGACCATGCCATTGTACTGGACATATGAAAGATGAGAAATTTCCATTTGTGCAGGAGAGGGGGAGGGCAGGGACTCCACTGCATGCTTACCTTGCGTATGGAGCAGTCACTTCCAACATTTACAATCTTACTCTAACAATATCTGCTCTTTTCCTCTGCTCCTTGCGCTGTTTCAGGTGAACAAGGAACTAGCCACACCACAGGCTTGGTTTTGGGAATCCTAGCATCTCTTATACTGCTCTCTTTCATCATCATTTTTGCACGAAAATACCGCAACAAAGCCAAGTCCGAAACTGAGGGCGGTGGCTGGGCTTCACCGGGAACTTCATTCATCTTCATGAAGAAACAGAGCGCAACGGCGATCATTGACAAAAGCGCACCAGCAGAGGAGGAAGAGACATTACAAACCGAGGACAAACGATATGGTGAAGTGAGAGTCGAGGGTTCTAAGAAGAGTGTGCCAGCTTATATAGAGGTGACTGAAAATCCCTCAACCTTACCCCGGGATAGGGCTGAGCCCATGGCAAAGAGTATTCCACTTTACTTAGACGCGTTTGATGGTCCTTCAACCCAACCCAGCGGTGTGGCGGAGGTGGTGGAAAAGAGCGAGCCTGCCTACCTAGTCTTGATGGAAGGTCCTACCAACCACGTGCAGGATATGGGCGAGGTGAAGAAAAGGATTGAGCCTGCCTATATCGATGTGTTTGGACCCCCCTCTAGCCTGCTCAACCCGGTTATTGTCACAGACATCTGGGAAGCTTCTGAAGGTGATGGAGTGTATGACACGCAAGCCGGAACTGAAGCAGATGGAGCCACAGATGTGACAGGGGAACGATCTCCATCATATATCGACGTGTCAGAGATCACATTTAACAACGCACAGGATGCCACAGCAACAGAAGGACGTGGTGAAGTTGCGAAAGATGAAGCTTCCGAGGAGATAGCCGAGAGCAAAAGAAACCAAACGGCAGATGTGACGAAGAAACGTGCGCCACTCTATATCAATGTTCCGGGACACCAGTCGCGGCGAACCCAGGCAGCCACGGCGACAGAAGGAGCTTGTGAGACTGGTCAAGATGATGTGATTCAAGACAACGGAATTGAAGATGACCCGTACGATAACCCACAGGTGATGAACATGAGCGCATCACATTATGTCAACATTGCAAGGATCCCGTCACGTCACCGTCAAAGCTTCACTTTCACACAAGGAGTTCATGACACCGCTGAAGACGATGATGTGTATGAGAAAACACCTTGCGATGGTCTTGGTCGCGACCTGGGTGCCTAAGTTCAGGAAGAAAGCATCTCTCTCTCTCTCTCTCTCTCTCTCTGTCTCTCTCTCTCTCTGTCTCTCTCTCTCTCTCTCTCTGTCTCTCTCTGTCTCTCTCTCTCTCTCTCTCTTGTTCTGGCAGTCTGTTTGCAGTAGTTCCATTACAAATCTCAACATCCACATCGAGCCACAAGCGCTAGCAAGCGTTAGCAAGCTACTGCATTGACCGGCACACTTGTAATTGTTTTCTGTTTTTGTTCTTTTTCACTTCAATAACACTGTTTTGCACTGCTTCGGTCAAAATGGACCTGGAAATGTTCCTTGGTTGGCCAACTAGTTTTTACTGACAATGTAATAATAAAGATAGGAACACCGCATTTGCAAGAGCGCAGGTTAATATTCACAGAGATAACTGGTGACCATTTGGACTTTGCTCGTTGGCACCAATATTGTGCATTTTTCTTATCATAAAAAAGGAGCGTTCTGATTTGGCCTATTTGCTCCCCATCGTATCGACGATCCAAAATTCACTCAATCGCGTTTCTTCCTTATTTCTCATGCATTCTTGAGCACAAACGAGGGGTTACATTGCTATCGAAACTTTACTCACCACTTCCAATTTGATGTGGGATGTCATCTTCACGACACCCTTCCCTTCCTTGTGCTCTGCGTTTCCTTTGCCTGCATGCATAGTTACCCATGGTATTCATCCCTGTTCATTTTTCCAATTGCTATAATGTTCTAATCAATATGGAATGCAAGTGCACAAAGCTTGCTGGCTCTTGCTATACTTTTTCTCCTCTGTTTCCTCGCGAATGCCCGCTCATTGCATTGTTTCCTATTCGCGTTGTTTACTTCAAAGTGAAATCCAAAACAATCATCTTGGTTATGCTTCTTGATCAGCCCAGTAATGTTTAACATAATAACAGGCTTTATTAACAGTCGCACAAGAATGGATCATTGCCTGGTTTCTTCTTCTGGTTTTTCATGTCTCTATCCATCTCTTTATATCCCTAGCTGCTTTCTGTGTGTTGGGTGTTTGGTCTCAACGCCTCTCCCTCTTCACGTTTCTTCTCTCCTCCGTAGCGTTCTCCTGCTATGGAAGGGCTGCATTCGGCATCACCAGTACAGATGAGTACGCTCATAATAACTAACGTGATATTTTGCAAATCCACTGCTGTCCAACTGTATTCATATTTTGCTATTGTTCCCCATTTCCCTGTATGGATGTGCACATCAATAGATGAATGAGTGAATTACATACAAGTAATAGGATAGCTCAACTGCCTTCGTCTTGCTGCTGCTGTTGCGCGAGTTTGCCTAAGCATGGCAGCTTCATCTGGATACGATGTAGTGCATGTCAGGCAGACATTTACCATGGCATGGTGGCGTGGGCAGATGAAGTTCTCTCTCTATAGCTTTTTATCCAATTTAGCAACAAAAGTACTCACTAGTGCTCTGCGCAATTGAGCCAGCCTGTTTCCGTGCTGGAAGCACGATTTGCGACAACGACAAAAGCAGAAGGCTATGATGACAACTTAGAATAACCATACCTGTCGGGTTGCGATGAAAGGTGTGTTCAGACTGGGCGCCATAGCCATGGGCGCAGCGATGATGCTAGTATTCCAGCAGCAGCAGCAGCCCATGGGCAATTCACCATTACCATGGCTAGGGATGTCGCTGTAGGGCTGCATCATGTGACTGGCTGCCCTGTAGATAACACAAAAAGGATTTTGCTCGAGACTCATAACTTCTCTTTGGAACATTCTAATACGCTCCGGTTTTTTGCAAATGAATGGTGGGTCTTTCTAGCTTCTTTTGAGACCAAAATGGTGCAGATGCGATCACGAATAAGGTAGTTACAGCTTGGTAAAGTCATCGACGGATAGTCGTCGATTTTTGACTGGCCAGTCGGATAAGGGTTGTAAAACCCTTTATGTACTGAACAATGTGTGCAAATTCCACAATTCTCCGAGTCATAACTACTTTCGTCCCCATGTTTTGCCGATTATTACGATTTTGGGCTTCCTGGAAAGCTAGTCGCAAGAGGAACACACTGAGCCCACACTTTCCAACCTCTCTATTGACGCTGTATCTGCAGTTCCGCTGCGCTGCGTGCAATCTGACCCAAAGTGACGCCCTGGACATGCACTCGTGTGCACACACCTACCAGTACCCTGATGTACTAGGAACTGAGTTAGGAAGATTCTAAAAACAAACAAAAAAAAAGCAAATACAGACAAAAATAGGAACTGACTTAGTGTGCCAACTTGTCAACTGTAAGCTGGGACTTCACTGAGCTATACCATAGCATAGGTCTCCACGAATACCTTCAGCAGTCATCAATATCCAGCACGTACATGTGCAGTGCATACTTCAATTACCGATACACGTATCACCTTGTCTTTTGATCTGTCGTGTCGATTTTATTCGGTAACTGTCTCTCCATTACCTTCTCACATATTCCGGTCATGTAGACCGTGCAAAGGTATGCACCACATGTAAGCCACTCCACTGCCTGGTGCCCGCTACACGCTCGCTATTGCAGTGACATGCAATCCCATCAGTTTGCAACCGATTGCAGCGCTGACACTGCGTACACGCTCGCAATTTCAGTGACATGCAATCCCATCAGTTTGTAACCGATTGCAGCGCTGACAGCGTCACAATCTTGAAAAGAACATCGCGGCCCTCTTAGCTGGAATTATCCTCACCTCCAATATCCATAAGTATACCAAACTAATAGCAGTTATTGACATTGCCGGTCTCATGAGTGTTCGGGGACGTCAGTGCAAGAGAGAAAGTTATTTTTCTCACTATTGCTTAGCCTGTGTGTAAACTCAGTGCAGATGTTGCGTAGTCACAAACCCAGCAGTACACACTAAAATGACCAGGCTGAACTTCGCTTTGCACATCAACATCTCGGAAAGTTTGCAACTAGTAGACTAGGGCATTTTTGCTTCGAGGACAATGTGGCGAAGATCAAACGGGTCTTGCCAGGCAGGTGAGTGCACAAGCTGAATTGCACTATATGGTATACAGTCATGTACCTTTAAATTTAACGTAGCAAAACGAGATACATGTAATAATACTCATAAAAAGGACACACTTCAGGCTCATTACAAACATCTAGAAAGTTTTGTCTTCACAAGTATACTTTCAAGCCTTCTCGTCAGGTGAAATATTCCACAACACGCACGATCCACTCGACCACGGAGGGGACGTCCAGCAAAGAATCATCCTGGTACAAGATGGTCTAACGCAGCGGCATCAACACCAAGCAACGTCACCTCACAATTAACTAGACCACCAGAAAAACAACCGGACAAGACACCTACTGGCGTGGCAGTGACAGGAACCGCATCAACCAGAAGAATGACAAGATCGGCAACGACGGCGATGGCAGCGACTAAAGCACAGACAGAGGCAACGGCTAGGGTCCACTCGACTAGCCATGTGATATCGGATGTGTCCACCGCACTTGCTGATTGTTCTGATGTTAGTTCTGATACGTATGAGTCGTCCATTGCTAGTCATTTGTTTGAGCATCCTGATTGTCGTGCTGTGTATTCAGATAATTGTTTTTCGAGCTGAATGTTTTGGAAGCCGTATACATCCACACAAAGAAACCCAACCTTTGCAAGCAGAAGCAAATTAAATTCACATTTAGGCTGTTAGGTAGGTCGTCAAAACCTCGTTAGTTACATGTATGTCCAGTGGTTGTCTCTTGTTGTCGCACTACATGTCATGCTTATTGAGTTTTTTCGCACTTGCACCTTTTTGTCAGTATTGCAATTTTCGCTGTTTACTTTAGCTATCTTCTTTTTTGCGCTGTTTTACCACCTTCTTATTGTATTTAATCCACTGTTCCTGTTCCTTTTCCCTTGCCTGTATTTCACCTGACGAGAAGGCTTGAAAGTATACTTGTGAAGACGAAAACTTTCAAGATGTTTGTAATGAGCCTGAAGTGTGTCCTTTTTATGAGTATTATCGCATTTTTGTCTCAGAGGAAACTGTTTACATGTAATAATAATAATAATAATAATAATAATAACACAGATACGCGTACAACATGCACAGCCGTGCTATGCATGCTTCCGCTGCTGTTCTCTAGCTCTGTCCATTATGTATGTAAATATTCGGCAGATACATGTACATGCACATGTGACAAAAGAACAGGACGTACCTTGTAGACAAGACCGAGATGAAGAGCCAAGGGTGGCAATCTTTTTAATTTTACTTCGAAGTAAAAATTAAAAAGAAGGAACCAAAGTCATGAACACTGCTCCGCCAGTACTTATTATATTATAGTTTATACTTGAAGTAAGAAGAAAAGAGGACCACCAACAGCACATCTTTGGTTCTCTTTTCTTCTTATAAATTCATCCTTGGCTCTCCATCCGAGTCTAATAAATTTTAGTGTGGGACAAAAAGAAATAACTTGGAAACCATCGTACGTGCATGTACATTGTAGTGGAAAGAAGGTGATGGTGTATGTGTGCTAGATGAGCTGTGCAGGTGAGGTGAAGTCCATGGCCCCCATCCAGGCTCTCGGGATCAAGGCGCACATGCAGCACGTACCATGGGAGAGCAAGATGAGAATATTGTAAACAAAATAAATTCTTGGATAGTGTTGTCAGGCACGTTCTGTATGACAATCAGAGGCGGGATAGCATGACTTGTCTTCCTCTCCTGTTGAGGAGATACAAAAATGAAGATCAGCGTTTGTTCCGTGGGCTGACAGTGGACAGAGCGTCAAACGAACCCTGATCCGTTCCAGGACAACCAGGCAGAGGCTGCAAATAGCAGTGCGAACAGAAACAACAATCTTCAGAACATGGTGCGGGGGCCTTTATGAAGACCGTGCATTACATGTACATGTACATGTACATGTACATGTATTCCCTTGTGCTGTTTCAACCAAGCTGCTGTTTCTGCGAGGACAATTACTTTGTGCTAGTCTACTATTAAACATCGTAAAGGTAGCAAATAGGCCTCGACCAAATATGCTAAAAAAGAGCATATTATGCTCGTCGCATATCAGGGGAAACGTCCGTAATATGCCAAAGGCTTAGCGAGATATGCAAAAAGATATGCCAAAACATGCCAAAATATGCTCGACATGAGCAGAAAGTGTAGGTCATTTCAGTAAAATTACAACCTTGGAATATTCATTGGCTTCACGGCTATCATGCTTATGGTTCAAATCAAAGCACGTGCGGAATAGTATGGCTTGTGTGTGTCCCCAGCAACCGTAGCGATAGTGTTCATCCATGGGGAAATGTAGCAAACGCCTCAACCAATCCAAATTCATCCATAAAAGGCATTTCTGAACATATTTTGTCCATAATATGAATGTTTTGTCCTCATTTTCTTCAGAATTTTTGAATTATATGCTGGCTTCATTCCAATATTCTGTTTGTTGCTCAATATGCCATATATGAACTGTCACCCAAAATATGCGGAAATATGCGCAAGCATATTTATTTTGGTCGAGGCCTAGTAGCAAACCAGCACAGAAGAATGTCTTCGCTAGATCAAATCTGACCTCGGGATGGAATTCGACCTGCCAGCGCCAGGTGCATTATTTCGAGGGAATCAGATGCTTGTTAGGTCCAGCATATAATTATTATTGTGTCAATCGTGTCCGGAAATCGCCATCCCACCACACGGCGGGCGGAAGCGCTCGCGGTTGTTCAACACAGTCCGTGCACGTGGGAAACAACTGCCCCAGCCTGCTCAAGCTGGCCTGCTAGAGACTACTCCAGCCTACTCTAGCCTGAACCAGCCTACTGCAGCCTGGATCTGACCTGGGCGTGAGAATCTAAACCACCTGTTTGCTCCACTTGAAAACCACCTGGATGGAACCAGCGTGCAGCGTAGTTTACGATTAATAGGGGCACCAAATGAAATCCGAGCCCATGGCAAAACCTCGTGAACACAAAAGCGTGATCACTGCGCAGCCCAGTACTTGTAGTGCTTGGGCCATGCAGCTTGGAGGATACTTCACTCACGGGATCGGATTTCATTTGCCACTACGGCGGACCTCACGCTCAAAATAGCAACAGTCGTTCGGTGCTTGCAGTGCGTAGATCTACGTATGTTGCCAAACTTACTCAAGTGGTGAAAGTGCAGATGGGGTACTTCTTTCTCAGGCTCTATCTTGTCAGTTGAATGCACATGTACTAGCATCTTATTTCTGAAAGACAGTCGTGATAGTCGTGATAGTTTACCGGTGCTGCAGACAAGTACACAGAGAACGTGTGTCACGTCATGGGGAGGTGTGCAAGCAGCAGAGAGGACGTTGGGGGAGTCAGTCGCGGGGAGGGACAAGCAAATCCGGGAG